CATCTCTCTGATTTCAATAAGGTCCACATGTAGCAAATACAGGGAATTTTTCAAGTTTCTTGTGGTTTCTAGAGATGTGTTTCTCTGATGAGCCCTTTCTCTGAGGAAAAGCAAACAAGAAGAGCAGGTCATGAACCATAAAGACAGCAAAATAACACTCTGCCCACAGGACAGCAGAACAATTCTGCTTTGTGACCCCCAGGGAGAAAGATGTTTTCTGCAGGCAAATTTGTGCTGCCATAGTCAGTCTTGGGACACCTGGTCCCACGCTGGTTTATTGAGATAAGTCATGCTTGCAGCTGTGTTGATTTGCATGTGCCCAGAGCACAGCCCACTGCCCTGAAGACTTATTCACAGGCTGGTCACACCTTGTGCAGGACTCTCAGTCCCAGTCAGGACACAGCATGGACATGAGGGTCCCTGCTCATCTCCTGGGGTTCCTGCTACTCTCTCTCCCAGGTAAGGAAGGAGAATACTAGGAATTTACTCAGCCGGTATATTGAGTGCTGCCTGGCTCTTCAGTGAAGTCTTCCTATAACATGATTAATCATGTGGATGTTTGTCTTTATGTTTCCAATCTCAGGTTCCAGATGTGACATCCAGATGACCCAGTCTCCATCCTCCCTGTCTGCATCTCTAGGAGACACAGTCACCATCACTTGCAAGGCTAGTCAGGGCATTAGCAAGTGGTTAGCCTGGTATCAACAGAAACCAGGGAAATCTCCTACACTCCTGATCTATGCAGCATCCAATTTGCACACCGGGGTCCCATCAAGGTTCAGTGGCAGTGGATCTGGGACAGATTTCACTCTTACCATCAGCAGTCTGGAGGCTGATGATGTTGGAACTTACTACTGTCAACAGCATGATAGTAACCCTCCCACAGTGTTACAAGCCTGAACATAAACTCTTCAGAAAAGCTGATGTGTGAGGCTGGGCTGCCCCAGCTGCTGCTCCTCGTTCCTCCATCTGCTGAGAGCATTTCTCAGATGCAGAGAGACTCTGAAGGTCACCAAAAGGTTTGGTAGAGGGGCAGGGAGGCTCCTCAACAAACTTTCTTTCCCCCTTCTAAGCCCTGGCAGCACAGGCATGACAGTCCATCTCCTGACTTAATGAAGGGCAGAGATCAGGACCTGTGAAGAGTCTGGATTGCAGCCTCAGTCTGATGTCATGCAGCAAAGGAGAAGCTGCTCTTGGTATTTCAAACAGGAATTTTTTTTTAATACAGGGAATTCTGGGCCAAACTGCACCTTTTCAAAGTCAAGGACATATGATAGTTAGGGAAGAAGATGCTAGAAATGGGGGTATTCTCCAGTGCTCCCTGAGAAACTCGAATGCATCTGCCACTAAAGGTACAGGCTGCCTAACCATGTGGTGCTCATACCTGACTGTGAAGCCCAATGGTGGGGGTGCAGATGCGCTCAGCTGCCTGCAGCCCCTCACCAGGTGACTCTCCAGTCCTCATCCCTGCCCACGTGTCTGCCTGCAGGTGCAGTGGTGAGTTATGAATCCTCCTCTTCTGACTTTCAAATGTCAGGGAGGGCCCCTCATTGAGCAAATCTGTGCTTCTTGTTGAGCAAGTCCAGGAAATCAGAGAGTGAAAAGGAGATTGAGAAATGTGCTTTCAGAAGTGATGGTGATGATGGGGAGTTAAGGCCACACTGCTCAGTATGGTAATTTTATCCCTAACTCTGAGAATTTTGTCATTTAGGGCACGGACCCACAATACTTGAGGATGTGCTTCTGAGTATCATCGGAAAGTAGGATCACAGCAAGAAAACTTCATTATGTCATAGAGGCAATAGAAAAAGAGGAAGAAGCAATAAATATATAACTACTACTTGACACACAAATGAAAATCTTTCTTGACAAAAATAAAAACAAAAACAAGTTAACATGGATGAACAATTACTTTCCTTTGTATTAAAAATTCATCCAGATTTCAACAGCACCATCAGCAACACAGAGAACATATTACAGACACAAAGCAGCAGAATCATCTGAGACACACTGAACAAAAATCTTTTTAGTGAGCCACATGTTAAAAAAAGCACACCCATATTTACTTTCTATTTAGTTAAAAACATATTTGAAAATGGTTTTACGATTGCGAAGGAAAAAAAACATAACTTGTCAACAGCATGATCAAATATTGGCCTTAATGTGTAGCTTGCTTTGAGGATTCTGTTCACTCCTGTAACTTACTGTAAGAATGTTGTGTCCTGAGTTGTCACTCTCCTTCTGCCTTGGCCTCAGTTCAAATGCAATCCACAGGCTGCAGATAAGCTCAGTGCCTGCTGCAGAGGCTCCTAGATGAGCCGCACCTGCATCAGCCAGTCCCTGTTAACATGAACATCCAAGAACATGGAAATGAATGATGAGTGTTTTGAGTGGCTCGTTACCAATCATTATTGTGCAAATTCTGGTCAATGCATGTTTCCACATCTACACATATAGGTAAACGTATTTTATTAAATATATGGCCTTAATATGAGCGCTTGTAACTCATTCACTAAGATGTTAAGAAATTAAAACTAAATGATGTTTGAATAAAAGAGTAAATTTACATAATTTCTGGGAAATTTTTGTATACTTTTATAATATATGTATATGTGAGTATATATTTGGTACATAATTGTCTATACATACCTATAAAAGCACGTATTTATATAAAAATAAGACTAAAATTCCAGACTAATATAGATGTTTCCTTCTGTTCCTGAATTATTTCTGGATTTGGAGACACCTTTTTGCCTCGATATTTGTCAGCTGATTTACGCTGTACTGATATCACACCACTGTCATAGTCAGGAATGCCTTGGAAGACTGAAAATCACAACAGTGGGGAGTCTTCAACTGTCAAATTTGATGATCACTGCTGTGGATTGGATGTCCCCCCAAACTCACTGAGGCTTGGTCCCCACTGTGACAGTGTTAAAAGGATGGGAAATCCTACTGTGGCTATTGAAAAGTGGGGTTTGAAAAGGTGATTAGAGTGTGAGGATAATGCGCTGGTAAATGGATTAATAAGTTGATGGTTTAATGGTGGTCATGGATGTGGTTCTGGAGGCTTTAAAAGGACAGGTGCATAAGGAGATCTCTCTCACACTCTCTCTGTGCTTCTGCCATCTGCAATGTGACACCCTACTTTGCTGTGAAAAATCACTATCCACCAACAAGCCTCTCACCAGATGTGTTCCCTGGACTTTGCATTTCCCAGTCTCTGAAAATGTAAGCAATAAATTTTGTTTCTTTACAAATCATCCAGTTTCAGGTATTTTGTTATAAGCAATAAAAAACTGATACAAGAGAAGTGGAGTATTGAAAACCGTGGCAGTGTCCCAGGCTTGTTAGGTCTGCAGGCTCACAGAGTGCCAGAGCTGTGGAGGCTTGGGAGCCTCTACCCTGATTTCAAAGGATCTATGGAAAAGCCTGGGGGCCCAGGAAGGGAGTCAAGTTACCACATACAGCCTTCACTAAAGCAATGCCAAATCGAAATATGGGGTCTGAGTTGCCTCAGAAAATCCCCACCAGTGCCATGCCTAGGAGAGCTGTGAGAGTGAGACCACTTGGCAGACACCAGGATTGTGGAGCTGCCAGCCTGGGAGAGCTGATTCCTGCCCTGAGACCAGGAAAGCCATAGAAGTGAAGCTGCCTGAGGACTTGGAGGCCCAACCCCCACACAAGGATGCAGAGAGCATGGAACATGGAGTCAAGAAATGTGATTCACCATCTTTAAGACTCAGTACCTGCTCTGCTGGATTTCACACTTGCTTAGGCTCTGTGTGATAATAAATGTGTATTGTTTTAAGTCACCGAGTTTGCATTAATTTGTTGTGGAACAATAGAAAATGAATGTGACAAGAAAATTTACTGTGTAGCGAGATAGGTTGTAAACTTGGAAAGCAATGTGCATCTGAGCTGAGTCAAAAATTGCACCATTTTCTTCAGTCTCCCCACTCCCCTTGGGAAGGTGCAGAAGCCTAAGGGAGGGATGGAAAAGGTAAAACTAAAGCTTGCATGGATGTAACTGTGCACCCTTTGGCTTCTGGAATCCATTGTACCTGCAACATTCGAGCAGTTATAATAAGAAAAAGAGAGAAGAGAAGATGCAAGAAGGCCTACGCACTGGATGCAGAAGGTATCATAGAATAATGACCTGAGCACTGGATGAGGAGAAGAGGAAAAGCAAATACATCTATAACTAAGGAACTAGCTTTTGGGAAAGACACACACCCAGAGAAATCCGATCCAAAGAAGCAAAGATAACTGTCTCAGAATTTTTAGGTGTTTAAACAGCTATAGAGGCCTTTTATTGTAAGCTCGAGAACATTGGATGGTGAAAAATAAAAATAAACCTGAAAAGAACAGCCTGTATCAAAAGACATCTTGGTTGTTCAGGGCACTTTTCTTTGAAATGTCTGAGAAAAAAGTTTTTTTCAAGTTTGAAACTCTTCATGGGGCATGGACCTTTGAAATCAAGAAAAATCCATTGAGAGAAGGAAATTCCCATGTGGTCCTG